ACATATAGCAGAAGTGTTGTCACAGAGGATGGGAATATTTCTCTCAAATATGTTGAAGTCTTCAAGTTAACTTCTCATCAAGAGTATTTGCATTCTACATCCAGCAGCTGCTATGTATTCATCTTCTGCGGTTGATAGTGCTATTATGGACTGTCTCTTGCTGGTCCATGAGATCAGATTTTCTCCCAGAAACTGGCAGCTTCCAGAAGTTCTTTTACGTTCTACTCTGTCTCTAGCGAAGTCAGCGTCACAATATCCTACTAAGTTGTAATCATTTGATTTTCTATAAAACAAACCCAGATTAGTAGTACCTTTCAGATACTTGAAAATTTGCTTAACTGATGTTAAGTGAGATTCTCTAGGATCTGATTGGAATCTAGCACATAAGAAAATACTAAATAAAATGTCAGGCCTTGAAGCCGCAGATAGAGGAGAGAACCAATTATACCTCTGTAGACCTTCTGTTCTACCTTTTTACTTACCTCTTCCTTTTCCAGAATGCACGTGGGATGCATTGGAATCCTTGAGGGCTTACATTCTGAGAGATCAAATTTCTTCAGAAGTTCTCTGACATATTTTCTCTGATGAATGTAAGTTCCTTCTGGAGTTTGGTTTATCTGAATGCCCAGAAAGAATTTGAGTTCCCCCATCAAGCTCATCTCAAACTCTGCCTGCATGCATTTAGCAAACTCTCTTCCCAGAGAGGGTTTAGTAGATCCAAAGATGATGTCATCAACATAAATTTGACATACTAAAATGTCATTCTTAACTGTCTTACAGAATAAGGTTGTGTCCACTTTCCCTCTGGTGAATTCCTTTTCTAACAGGAAGTTAATTAGTCTTTCATACCAAGCTCTGGGAGCTTGTTTCAGACTATAGAGTGACTTCTTTAGTTTGAAAACATATTCTGGGTGTTTGGAATTCTCAAACCCAGGGGGTTGGTGCACATATACCTCTTAATCTATATAGCCATTTAAGAATGCACTTTTGACATCCATCTAATTCAGAGTGATGCCTTTATTTATAGCAAATGATATTAAAAGTCTGATAGATTCTAACCCGGCGACTGGAGCAAAGGTTTCTGTATAGTCTATCCCCTCTTGCTGACTATAACCTTGTGCTACCAGTCGTGCTTTGTTTTTATGACTACTCCTTGCTTGTTCAGTTTGTTTCTGAACACCTACTTTGTTCTAATGACGTTGAATCCTTTTGGTCTAGGGACCAGATCCCATACGTCATTTATGGTGAATTGATTCAATTCCTCCTGCATTGCCAGAATCCAGTCATTGTCCAGAAGCGCTTCATCAATTATTGTTGGTTCAATCAGAGAGACCAGTCCCATGAGGGATTATTCATAGTTTCTGAATGTTGACCTTATTCTGATTGGATCATCCTTTTTTCCCAGTATTTTATCTTCTGGGTGAGCTATGCTGCTTCTGGATAGTCTTTTTTGAAGTTGATCAACTGAAGGTGCTGGATTGCTTGCAGTAGATCTTTCTGATGTTGTGGGAGCATCTCTGTTGAGAACTTTTGATGATTTGTCTTCAGTACCTATGAGTTCAACTTCCATACCTGCAAGGAATTCATTCTGCTTTGACTCTTGAGAGTCAAGCTTATCATCAAACCTAACACTGATTGACTCTTCAACAATATGTCTTTCTGTATTGTATACTCTGTACCCTCTTGAGAGTTCAGAGTATCCTAACATAATACACTTTTGTGCTACTGTTCCAGAGCCAATGATCTTTCTTCTTTGGTTGCCTCCAAATCCCACGTAGCCTCCAGGCTTAAGTTCCAGACTTTGGAACATATGCCTTCTTCTCGTCATGTGTCGAGAGTAGCCAGAGTCCAGGTACCATGACTGGTGTTTTAGCCTTTCTACTAAAGATATCTGCTACATATATAATTTTATCCTTAGGTACCCATATCTTCTTTGGTCCTGGTTTGTTAGTTTTACCAAAATTCTGATTGAATTTTGGTTTGACAGAATAATCACTACTTGTGTATTTTATGTCATGTGTGTGTCCATATATAAAATGTGAATTGAGTGGTGTGCCTTTTATGACTAAGTCCATGGCTTGTTTAGGTGTAGATACCTTTCCTTGATATCCTATCCCTTTTCTTCCGTTTCTGCTAACTCCATAGAGCATTGAAGCCATCTTGCTTCTATCTATGTTTCTAGCTAGAAACTTCTGTGATCATACTCTTTGATGATCTCATCAGCATTACTGGGAGTCTCTAAGATTATTTCCTTCTGAGAATTTTGCAAATCATTTTCTAATTTTGAAATTTTTTCTGTTAACTCAGAATTTTCTAATCTGAGACTCTCAGACTTTTCAAAGTCAGAGGCAAGATCCCTTTTCAGGTTCTTGAATATGACTCTGATATGCTGATACCTTTCCAGAATTTCGTTTATACTTTCTGCAAGTTCAGCCTTAGTAAAATTAATGGTAAAGTCAGGGAATACCTCTTCAGTGTCTGATTCTGAGTCTGAACCAGAAGCTTCACTTTCTTCTGACACGTTTTCCATGAGAGCTATGTTTTCTCTTTCATCATCTGACTCTGAGTCTGCTTCAGAGGTGTCTGAATCATCCCATGTTGCCATGAGGCTTTTCTTCTTTTCCTTGAAGGACTTGTTTTTGGGCTTCTCCTTCTGAAGCCTTGGGCAATCACTTTTGTAGTGCCCTTGCTCGTTACACTCATAGCAGATGATGTCCTTGTTATTTGGCTTTCTATATCCTGAAGAATCTTCAGATATTCTGTGTCCAGAGGAAGACTTAGACTTTCTGTATCTGGAGGAGGATTCATTCTGATTCTCTAATCTTCTGGGATTTCTGAATTTCCTTTGTCTATGCTTCCACAGTTGGTTTACCCTTCTGGAGAGGAGAGACTGTTCATCTTCTTCTGATGAGGATCCATCAGAAGTTTCTTCCACAGCCTGCAAAACCTTAGATTCAGATTTTGTTAGATTTTAAAGCTAGTGGCTTACCTTGCTTTTGAGGCTCATCTTCTTCTAGCTCTATCTCGTGACTTCTGAGGGAGCTAACAAGTTCCTCCAGAGATATTTTGTTGAGATCTTTGGCTAGCTTGAGTGTTGTGACCATTGGGCTCCATTGCTTGGGTAAGCTTCTGATGATCTTTTTAACGTGATCAGCAGTCGAATACCCTTTGTCGAGAACCTTCAGTCCAGCAACAAGGATTTGGAATCTTGAAAACATAGCTTCTATGGATTCACTGTCTTCCATCTTGAATGCCTCATACTTCTGAATGAGCGCAAGGGCCTTGGTTTCTTTGACTTGAATGTTTCCTTCATGCGTCATTCTCAGAGAGTCAAACATGTTCTTGGCAGTCTCTCTGTTTGATATTTTCTCATATTCTGAGTATGAGATGGCGCTGAGGAGTATTGTTCTGGCCTTGTGGTGGTTTTTGAATTCACGCTTTTTTTGGTCAGACATCATTTTTCTGTGTATCCTCTGACCACGTCCATCCACTGGGTGCGTGTATCCATCAGTCACCATGTCCTACATATCAGCATCATGGGCCAGAATAAAACTCTCAATTATGTCTTTCCAGTCGTCAAAGTTTTTTCCATCAAAGACTTGAGGTTTGTCACTGAATCTGTCCTTGTCTTCATGGTAGTCATTGTTGATGTTTTAGCTTGGTCCCACCATAGTGTTTTTTTGAAGCTTGGATCTTGTACTGACACAATTAAGTGTTTAAGCTTAGAACCAGGCGCTCTGATACCAATTGAAGATGTGAAAAACACAAGAAGGGGGGGTTGAATTGAAAACTTGAAATCAAAAGCGCAATGACACAGTATTTTTATCCTGGTTCGTTTGATCTCAAACTACTCCAGTCCATCCGTCAAGGTGATTTCGCCTCTCTCCAATGAGGTCTTAATTCACTAATCACAAAAGGATTATAATCACTACTTTAACAACTGTTAAAGTCTTCTTGAGTACAACCACAATCCGGTTAATCTCAAGGAACATTGTTTCAAAATAATTATACAAGAATGTGTGTTGTTGTTTTTCGTTACAAAAACTATTATCACAACTGTGATAATTTACACAAAATAAGAGCTTAGAAAGATGATGAAAAATGCTTGCAGCTTTTTGAATTCTCGTGAATAGTCTTGGCAAATCATTAATGATTTGAACACTGAGCTTGTTTATATAGGCAATGGATTTACGTTGATCATCAAGCGTGTTAAATGACATTAACTTAGTTTCCATTTGGAGAAGATCATGTCTGAAAGAAGCCGTTGTAATTGATGTTGTATTGAATGATTAGTAACGTTTCAGAATCTTTCATCCTTGCTTGCTGCTGATGCTTCAACACATTGATGACTTGGATTATTATGTTCTTGTACAGAATCAGAGTTTACTTCACTTAAGCGCAGGTTTTGGTCATCAATCTTCAGTGCATGTTTTGATTGCTTCAGCGTGTAACTCTTATGGCCTAACTTCTGATGCTGCTTTGGTCAGAACTTTTGCATACAAAATAACATAATTTTTAAGGTTCGTATTTGTTCTTTGTATTTGTTATCATCAAAACTCTAACTAAAGGTTGTAGAATCAAACTATGTTCTAACAAAGGGTTCAGTCCCCCTTGGGTATTAAATTTTTTTTCTTGGGTATTAAAATTTTTTTTCTACATTTAAACAATTTTTTTAACAATGCAAACTATGATAAATTCAAAAAAACCAAGAAAACATGGTGATCGCTAGGATCCAGCCAACAAACAGACAATAAAGACAAATCAAACACCTAATACAACATTAAATTAGCAATATGAGTTCTAATCTTCTTAGTAAACCAACCCCTATAAACTATATTATCTATTATATGCTGCAAAATGTTATTCCTATCCACATTGTTCTCGAAGCAGACACCATTTTGATACTTCCACACACCATACACTGTTTCTGTGGCAGCAAATTTTACTAATGTTGACCTCTAACATTTCCCTTTGCTATGGAGCACAATCCAATTTATCTCCTAATTCCACTTTTTTGGAGTATGCTTAAGATGGATCCAATTTAGCACATTACACCAAATATGCTTCAACTCCTCACAATCGAAGAAAAGATGGTTAATAGACTCCTCCTTATTACAGAAAATGCAGAAAGTGTTATCAATCATCCCAAATTTGAAAAGCATATCCTTAGTGGCAGGCTTCTTATGGCAAGCAAGCCACATGGTCAACAAAGTTGTCAGACGCACAACATTGTTTAGCATCAGAATACTCCACGATGTAACAGTGTCATCTTTTCTCAGTTCAGTATAAACAAATTTAATTTTAAACTTACCTTTGCTACACATATGCTCCCACAAGCTCTGAATATTAACTATGACCCCTCTTTGTTGTAGAACTTGTTTCATAATCCAAGTGCATCCAATTTCGATCTCAGCCTCCATAATATTGTTATTCTTCATGTAGTAGGTGTGAATCCACATAACCCACAAATTGTCCACTTTATTACAAAGGTTCCAGAGTAACGTTAACATTATTCCAAGTTTTTAGATCAATAATACCCATACCTCCTTATTTCTTTGGCCTGCACATATTCTTCCAAGATACTGGACTTTTCCTGCTAATAGTTTCTTTCTGTGTCCATAAAAAAGAACGGAAAATAGAATCTAATTTATTAATCAAAGATTTAGGCAGAGTGAAACAATTCAACCAGTAATTTGACATATCAAAAGTAATTCTCTTAATAAGTTGAAGCCTACATGTGTAACTCAACAAATAAGATGACCAATGCTTGGTACGGCTAACAATCTTCTAAATAAGCATCATGTAGTGACTAATGGCTAACTTCTTTTAAGTAAGAGGAACTCCCAAATACTTGAAGGGAAGGGTACCTTATTTGAAAGAAGTCATCCTAAGAATACTCTCTTTAGTACCTGCATCAACAACACCAAAATAGATCCTACTTTTGTTAGGATTGATCTTCATACCAGTAGACTTAGAGAACTTAAGAAAAGTCTGCATCATGAGCTCCACATAACCATAGTCTTCTCTAGAGAATAAGAGCACATCATCAACTAAGGTTAGGTTGGTTATCTCCATCTTTTCACACTTGGCTAGGTGTTTAAAGTTAGGTTTCAATTGCATTTGATGGAGACACCTTTGTAAATACTCCATAATGATCATAAATAGGTAAGGGGAAATATTCCCCTTGTCTTATCCCCATCCTGGGTTGGAACAACTTGGTATAGCTCCCATTAATGTTGAATCTGTAGGAGACAGTAGTAACAGTAGTCATGGTCCACCTTATGAATTTTGGAGGCATCCCCATTTCCTACAAAATACACTCCAAATCCCTTCAATAAACCATGTCATAAGCTTTTTGCATGTCAAGTTGAATCATACATATAGTGGTCCCTCCATGTCTAGTGTAACCTTTAATTAACTCATAGGCTAAGAGAATATGATTATGTATTTGTTGCCCTGGTACAAAAGTAACTTGGTTAGAGCTAACTATGCTACCAATGACTTGACCCAACCAAGTTGTCATGACTTTTGAAATAATCTTGTAGACACTAGTACAGACCGATATAGGCCTAAAGTCCTTTATACACTTAGTAGCACCAATCTTTGGAATTAGAGAAACAATAGTACAATTGAAAGCTTTATACAAACAATCCTTTTCAAAAAACTCTTGCACTTAAACAATCAAATATGCCTTATTAATGTCCCAACTGCTTTTGAAAAAGTAAGAACTGTACCCATCAAGGCCAGGAGCAGTCATGTCATTAATTTCTTTGAGAGCTTTTGAGATCTCAGTTTCACTAATAGGTCCCACAAGGCTATCTCTCTGAACACTATTAAGTTGGTTGTCTATTCTCATAGATCTCACATCAATGTAGTTTAGATTATCCTCCATCTTCCCCATAAGATCACCATAGTACTTCATAACTTCCTCTTCTATTTCAGTTTGAGAAGTAATACTAGAAGACTCCAAAAATTTGACCTTTGAGATAATATCTTCCATAGTCATCTCAACCACAATTTCTCCATTAATAATCGTAGGAGCTATGAATTCCATAGCTAAACCTTTAGCCGAATTCATGTTCTCATTTAGCACATCAACCCATAATTTCGTTGGCTCCTTAGGTTCCTCATCACTCTCCGAACTTAGGGTTTTCACGCGGGTAAGATTCTCATCCACTGTTTCTTTCTCAATCTTGCTTAAACTTGCTCGATTAACATGGTTCTCCTTACCTTTCTAAGTCTTCGTCCCTGAAAGCATGGTCAAAATGTCACGATTCTCCGGTGGCGGTGGCAGCACGTATTTCTTCCGCCCTCGCCCCATCAAATACTCTAAATTTAAACAATTAATTTTATAATTTTGTAAAAATGATAAGTAATTAAAAAAAGACTTGGAATATTTAATTATTGACTTGACAATAACACATAAGCAAAAATAACGTCAGCTCATTAAAAAATAGGGTTAAATGCCTTCTACCCCCTACAATAGTAACGAGATTTGATTTATCCCCCTTTTTTTAAATAAAAAAATTCTCCCCTCAACAAACATAGATTCCATAACCAAAAACCTTTTAGCCCAAGATTCCATTTGAAATGTAGATGTGACCATGTTCTTCTATTTTTATTCATTTTATTTTCGTTGTTATTGCAAACCACTGTGTCGATGTCGAGCATTGCTTTTGTTTTGACAAATATGTTGCTCCGATGTTGTCGGTTGAATAAAGATGTTTGGTGCAGAAATTGTCGGTGTTGAGTTGAAGAACGATGACAGTTGTTGTTATAAAAACAACTAGGGATTTGTGTTCTTTTTCTTAGCTTTATAGGTCTTTTATGATGAAGATTGATGATGTTTAGATATCTTGTGGTAATAAAAAAACAAGTTTGTGTGGCTTTTTAAGCAGAAATTGGGTATTGGATGAACAAAGAGATTTTTGAGGGTGTATTGGAACAGAGGTCGGAGGTATGTTTATGATATTTCTGTGTATATTTTCTCCTCTAATATCAGTGGCCTCCCCCCAATCTTTTGTTGTAGTAATTATGAATAAATTTGAAAAAAGATTTGAAAACATGTCACAATTAAATAAATAAAAAATATTAAAAAAAACCACGGTGGCATATATGACCCAGTCAACAAACAGATCCTGGCCACGTCTGCATTTCAAATGGAATCTTAAGCTAAAAGGTTTTTGGTTATAGAATCTATGTTTGTTGAGGGGCGAAAAGAATTTTTTTTAAAAAGGGGGTAAATCAATTTTGCTACTATTGCAGGGGTAGAAGACATTTAACCCTAAAAAATTCCCTCAAATTTGAAGGGGACGAAAATTCAAAAGAAAATTTAAAATATTTGTATTGATTAAAATATTTGATTTTATGTTTTATTGGTTTTTTTATTTAAATTATAGTTTAATAAAATTTGATTTTATGAATATTTGACTTTTTAATTTTTTTATTATTTAAATTCTAATTAATAAAATTATTATTTTTAGTCATAAAAATCAATTTTAATAGAAAATATTTTATAATTTTAAAATTTTATTAAATAATTCTTAGGTTATTAAATTTAATATTTTAAATTATAATATTATTTTTTAATTTAAATGACATAATAATTATTGATGAATTGGAGATACATTCTTATTGCCACGTTATAAATGTGTAACCTCTACAAAATTAGAGAAGACAAATTATTAAATAAAATTATCAAAAGATTGAAGTTTAAAATATAATGACTAAAACTTTATCAAACTAAAATAAAAAGATGAAAAATACATTTTAATTTTACAAAAAAATAAAAGTCTGTCCATATTTTTATTTCTAATTATTATTCAATTTTATCAATCAATTTTGAATTTTTTTTTTAAATAACCACATTTTTTATAAAAAAAACTTCTCAAATAATCACATTTTCAAAAAATTTACCAAACTGATCACTTTTAAAATAAAAAAAATTTGTCACACAAAGGAGTTGTCATTCTGTGTGGCGCATGCATGCATTTTAGAGAGGAGACGCCACACTACATGTCTTGTCCTCCTCTATAAAGCCATGCAGTGTGGCGCATGCATGTATTTGCATAGAGGAGGCGCCATCTTCCTTGGCTTGACAGTGTTATATGATTTTCTATAAATGCAACCACTCATCCTCTTCATTTTTGTATTTTCACATCATTTGTTACATAACTCTTAGAAAATGTCTTCAACTCCCTTGCCAAAGTTTTCACTGATCAAAAGAGATGCGCAATTTATTTTTCAGCGACAAAGCCTCCGGTGAAGATCAAACTCTGGAACATGCAGACGTTCGAGCATTTTCAGAGGTACTTGATTCGCTGGTTGGAAGGAGACATTCCTGAAGGTGAACAGATCAGGAAATTGAAAGGCACATTACAATGAGGAACGAAAATGGAGTAAGCCGATCATGGAAAAAGGTGAGATGTGACGCTGATGTCATGATGATGATGCTTGGACCAGACGATATTGTGTTGATGGTTTTTATCTGTTAGATATTATGATTTGTTTCGTTGTTTTGTCTGTTTATCATGTTGTTGTATTGTTGTCCCGAGTTTGTGGTGTTGTAATTTTTTGTGTCATTATGTTAAAGTTGTTGTAATTGAATGATAAATTGAAAATGAAATGATAACCCGAATTTAAATTGAAATATATTGCGTACAACAAATTAAACACTCCAGAAAGTTTGCTATAAAAAAGTTAGGTTGCAAAACTAGACCCAATATTCGGATAATTTTTCTGATTGTGTCCGGGAAGACGACATGTACTGCATAATCTTATTATTTTGTTGGTTGTATCCATTTCAGTTCTAATATGAGTTATTTTCGGGCGCCCCTTTTTCTTCCGTCGCATTTGTTCATTGTTCCAAACAATGTCCCCTTGATAAGCAGGCCAATAATCCTCATTTGCCAACACGGAGAAGGTATTGATGTACACACTTAAAACGCTCTTTACTGTGTACACGGGGGATATATGTTGTATTGTGTCCAAGAGAACATGCTAACAAGCCGCTATGACATGAGAGCAAGGCATGCGAAATGCTTGAAAATTTCCGCAATCACACCAACCTCTATCTAGTTCGACCCGATAATATCCCTTTGGCCTCCCCTCATTATGATCTATTCTCTCTTGTACACTGAACCAACCTTTAATACGGTCAAACACGGTGACACTATAGGTATTTGCTTTCATAGCCTCCTCGTTAAATGTTTTCATTGTGCATTCACTGAACAACTGCCCTGATTGTAACACTGCCCTCCATTTTGAACTTCTTGTGTCAAACGGTGACCCAATCCTGAAATATGTTGCTCTAACCAAAGTAGTAATTGGTAGGTTTCGAATGCCTTTGAATACAGAGTTCGATGATTCCACCAAAGTTGTTGTTATGTGGCCCCATTGTTGACCATTGTCAAAT